TTAGAGGCGCAGGTGCGGTGCGGCTGGTGGCTGGGGACGGGGGCTGCTCCCTGCTGCTCACGGGGTCCAGAGGGCTCCGGGCGGGGAACCGTCATGGCCAGGAGGGTGGTCGCCCACCGAGGGGGTGCAGCTGCTCGCCCTGGCCCAGCCCTCGCCCGGCGTCTCTCCCGTGTGGCTGCCCCGGGTCCCCCTTTTATGATAAACCCCAAGTCTAGTAAGTGAGCTCTTTCCTGAGTTCTGGGAGCTGGTCTAGCAAATTACCAAGCTGAGGGGGTGTGAGCCCCTGTGTGTGGGTGGTCGGTCAGAAACACAGGTGGCCCTAGGGCTTGTGATTGGCGTTGGACGTGGGGCGGGCTGTGGGCCCGGGCCCTTCACCCTCGTTTGGTGTCGGAAGTCTTAGGGTGCAGAGGGGGAACGGAGCTCTTTCTGACCCCGTTACGTGCCCGCATCGCTCTGTCTGCACGGGGCCATTGAGGCGGGCAGGGGCCCTGCGCCCTCATTTGGCACAGAGAGGGTAAGCACTGGGTTCAGGGCCACACAGCCAGGGCTGGTGGGTGCTGGTGCCCCACCTCAAAGGACGGAGGGTCAGAGGGGACGGCCGCCTCCAGGCCTGCGACCAGGAGCGTGGGGGGGCGGGGAACGCCCACCTCGGCCGCCCCTGAGCCGCCGTGGTCCCCTCTGCAGGTACAAATGTGACTGCGACCCCGGCTGGAGCGGGGCCAACTGTGACGTCAACAACAACGAGTGCGAGTCGAATCCCTGTGTCAACGGCGGGACCTGCAAGGACATGACCAGCGGCTACGTGTGCACCTGCCGCGAAGGCTTCAGCGGTGAGTGTGTGTGTGTGTGGGGGGGGGGGGTCCTGGTGCAGAGCAGGGCTCCGGGACAGTGGCTCAGGCCCAGGGCCCAGCGCAGGGCACAGCACGCGCTGACGGGTACACTGACCGCTGTCCCCTCCTCAGGCCCCAACTGCCAGACCAACATCAACGAGTGTGCGTCCAACCCGTGTCTGAACCAGGGCACCTGCATCGATGACGTGGCGGGGTACAAGTGCAACTGCCTGCTGCCCTATACAGGTGCGGGCGGGGGCGGGGCCTGGAGGGGAGGGCGGGGCCTGGGCCGCCCACTGGATGAAGGCGCAGTGGTGGCGTGGGGTGTGCAGCGGCTTTCACTGGGCCGCCTTGTCTGCGTGCTCGACAGACCCTCCCAGAGGTTCTGCTCTGCATGCGGGGCCTTAGGCCGGCTGCTTTCGGGCCTCGTTGCCAGATGAGCATAAACAAATAGAGGATGGCCCGGCCGTGTGGCTCAGTGGTGGAGCGTCACGGTTCAATTCCCCGTCAGGCAAATGCCGGTTTCGGGCTTGACCCCCAGTAGGGAGGGTGCAGGAGGCAGCCGATCAATGGTTTTTCTCTCGTCATTGATGTCTCTGACTCTCCTCCTCCCTTTCTTTCTGAAGTCAATTAAAAATAAAGTGCGGGATGCCCGGGAGAGGACCTCAGTATAAGTAGGCCCCAAATATTTCACCTGGCGGCCTGCTCAGGGGTGAGGAGGTGGAGTCCTCGGCACAGAGGCAGGGCCAGGCCTGGCTGGTGGCCTCCAGGGCTGGGTGCCGGGGCCTGGGGCCGGGTGTGGGTCCCTGGCCGGCAGGCAGGCCCTCCGTGTGGGAACAAGGGGCCCCCCTTCCCGCTGGCAGAGGCGCTTCCCTGGATGTCCAGCCTCCGTTCTCGTCCCGGCCGAGGGGTCACAGGAACCGTCCCTCTAGGAGAGCTATGCAAAGAGTTAAAAACCAAAAGGCCACACCATGGGCCCTGGGGGTGGGCCAGGGTGCTGCGCCCGGCGGTGGGGCCCTGGGAGTCCTGAGATGGCCCTGCCCGGGGCGGGGGGGGGGGGGTGGGCCGGGGGAACCTGTGTTTCTCATGACATCCGGTGGGCCGAGGCCGGGCCGTGTTTTCTTTGACCAAAGTGAAGGGGCTGGGTTTTTCTCTCCCGAATTCAGTGAAGAAGCCCCGGGGGCCGCCCAAGACTCCACACTCGGGCACCGAGACCCCTGCGGCTAGCAAGATTGCTGACAGAGGCGGGAGGCCGGCGGGAGGAGCCGCCGGTGCTGACCTGCTTCCCGTCGCCCGCTTCCTGCTTCCCTTCGCACAATTGTCGGAAACTCTGGCCAGTTTCCTGCCTGCCCGGGTCACCGTGGAAACCGAAAGAAAGAAGGGCCTGGAAAATCGCAGCGGCCGGCCAGCGAGATAACGGCCGCGAGGAAGATAACGCTTCCTCGGACGGCCCTGCGGCCGTAAACAGGAAGACCGCGCGGGCTTTCGGGGAGAGATTGTGGCCGGTGTGCAGGGGCGCTCGCCAGGCCCCGCTCTGTCCCCGGACTCCCCGATAACTAGGATGTGCCCCGGCTGGAGCTGGCACGGCCCCCACAGTGACTGGCCGGGTGCCCTGCAGTCACTGCCTTGTTCCCTGGCCTCGCTTGATGGGCGCCTCCCGCCTGGGACACGAGAGGCTGGGACCAGGCCCGAGGCCCCCGCGTGCATGGGGGGCGCCAGCCCTGACTGCCAGGTGCTCCTTGGGGGCAAGGCCCAGACTGTGCCCTGCGGCCCCTGGGAGCCAGGTGTCCATCCGGTTTGTCTTGAGCCCGAGTTCCGGGCCCCGACTCAGCCAGGAGCTCACCGGGGCCTTACGTGCAGCCCGTTGTTCTCCGACAGTGGGAGGACCAGCACACGGCGGCCTGTGGATGCCACGGGGTTGGCCCTCTGGCCGGGCTCCCTGGGTTCACCATCTACCCTCTCCCGCAGGAGCCACGTGTGAGGTGGTGCTGGCCCCGTGTGCCTCCAGCCCCTGCAGGAACGGCGGCGAGTGCAGGGCGTCCGAGGACTACGAGAGCTTCTCCTGCGTGTGCCCGGCCGGCTGGCAGGGTGAGGCCGCTGCTCCCCAGCCCCGGCCCGTTTCCACGGAGCCCAGGAGGGCGGCCCCAGGCTTCGGGCGGATCCGGGAGGGAGGGAGGGAGCTCTCCTCTCTGGAGATGAGCCGGGGGTTCTGAGCCACCTGCAGGGGGGCTCTATTAGCAAGAACCCACCTCGCCCTTCCTTTCCTCCTGGGCGTCCCCAAGGCCCACCTGGGCTTGAGCCCCGGACGTGGGTGGACAGGAGGGGCCAGGAGTGGGACTGAGGTGACGCTCCCCCCTCCAGGGCAGACCTGCGAGGTGGACATCAACGAGTGCGTGAAGAGCCCGTGCCGCCACGGCGCCTCCTGCCAGAACACCCACGGCGGCTACCGCTGCCACTGCCAGGCGGGCTACACCGGGCGCAACTGCGAGACGGACATCGACGACTGCCGGCCGAGTGAGTGGCCGGCCGCCCGCCCACCGCGGAGACGGGCCGGACCGGGGGAACGGAGGTGGCGCTGGCTGGGTGCGGGGGGGCCCTGGCCATACCAGCTGTCACTCCCAGAGAGGCCACCCGCCCGGTCCAGGTGGGCGTGGCCGGGAGGCGCCGGGTTGGTGCTGGGAGGTGGCAGCTGGCGTGGACCGAGTGGCGTGCTTCCGGGCGGTTCTAGGAGGCTCCGGAGCAGGACTGCCCGGCGTCAAGCCCGCCCGACACCTCCCGGTCGGTTCCCAGGAGCTCCTCCCCCAGCGAGGAGCGACCTTAGGCCCCGCCCGGCCGCCCCTCAGCCTGCGCTCCTGTCCCTCCCCAGACCCGTGCCACAACGGCGGCTCCTGCACGGATGGCGTCAACGCGGCCTTCTGCGACTGCCTGCCCGGCTTCCAGGGCGCCTTCTGCGAGGAGGACATCAACGAGTGCGCCAGCAACCCCTGCCGCCACGGCGCCAACTGCACGGACTGCGTGGCCAGCTACACCTGCACCTGCCCCCCGGGCTTCAGCGGGATCCACTGCGAGAACAACACGCCTGACTGCACCGAGAGGTGGGTGACCCAGCAGGTCCGCTGCACCCGGGCCGCGCGGGGGGCACGGGCCGTGTGGGCCATGCACGGGGTCTGGCAGCCGGGCCCCCGGGCAGGCGTCCACCCGTCACGCAGAGCTGGCCGAGCGGAGCCGGACCGTTCCTGTCCTGCAGGGCTCCTCCTAGGGGGCCATGGTCAGGTGGCGAGGCAGGAGCCAGGGACCCTGGCGGTTTAAGAGCTGGTGCACCTCCTTCCAGACAAGGAGAATCTGGAACTTGTTTCCCTTTTCGCCTTGGCTGCCGGGAAGCTCGCACTAAATGTCCTCGTTCCCGTTTCCTGACATGATTCCCTTCTGTGTTATCTATATGAGCTCTGATGTTCCTCTTGTTTTTCCCTTAACCCCGGAGTGTTAGAAAGCTCCCCTCAGGACGAGCTGTAAGGAAGGCAGAGGAAAGGGAGGGGGTGTGATGGGGTTTGCGAGTCTGAGGCCCCCAGTCCCGTGTCAGGGGCCCCCTGAGGCTGCCGTGGGCCTCCGTGAGGTTCGTCAGGCTGCTGCTGGCCCGGTGTGGCCGTCAGGCCCCCCGTGGCCACGGTCTAAGCCAGCGTGGCGGGTCCGACGCCCCAGTCACCCTCCCTCCGGCGCCTGCCCACCTGCAGCTCCTGCTTCAATGGCGGCACCTGCGTGGATGGCATCGACTCCTTCACCTGCCTGTGCCCGCCTGGCTTCACGGGCAGCTACTGTGAGCACGACATCAACGAGTGCGACTCGCGGCCCTGCCTGCACGGCGGCACCTGCCAGGACAGCTACGGCACCTACAAGTGCACCTGCCCGCTGGGCTACACCGGCCTCAACTGCCAGGTGAGCGAGGAGGAGGGCGCCGCTGGGCCCGCTCCCGGCAACCCAAGGAGGGAAGAGCCTGGCTGCGGGGCGGGGTGCCCGCGGGCACGTGCTCCTGGGGTCTGGATGGCCAGCCTGGCCCTGGCCTGGCCTGTGCTGCCCCCGGAGGAAGCAGAGCTGCTGGACGGGCGGTCATCCAGGTCAGGGAGCAGAGGTCTGTGGAGAGAGCAGGGACCAGGTGATGCAGGGGAAAGATTGGTTGTACAGGGTTTTTTTGTTTTGTTTTAATATATCCTTATTCCAGAGAGGAAGGGAGAGGGGGAGAGAGAGAGAAACATCAACGATGAGAGAGAATCACTGATCGGCTGCCTCCCGCACGCCCCCCACTGGGGGTCAAGCCTGCAACCTGGGCCTGTGCCCTGACCCAGAATCAAACCCGGGACCCTTCAGTCCACAGGCCAGCGCTCTATCCACTGAGCCAAACCGGCTAGGGTGGCTGGGGAAGGATTGTTAAAAGCTCATGTTTTTATGGGAAATATACAAAAGTATTAATGGTTGATCTTCCTGAGGAGATTTTCACATGAAATATCAATTACAAAAACTCCCAGCAAAAGCGTCTACTGATACAAGATCTTCCTTGGAGGAAAGGGGTCTGGATTTGCTGTGTGTGTGTGGGGTGGGAGGAGAGAGAGAGAGAGAGAGAGAGAGAGAGAGAGAGCGAGAGAGAGCGCCCACCCAGTCCCAGGCTGCCCGTGAGCAGTGGGAGCCCGCGGGCCTCAGTCTCCCCCTCTGTGGGTTGGGCGTGAGGTTTCCTGGCGCGTGTGGGCTGCGCGGCCGGGAGGGGGGTATGAACGCTGCCCTGCGCCTCCAGAACCTGGTGCGCTGGTGCGACTCCTCGCCCTGCAAGAACGGTGGCAAGTGCTGGCAGACCAACGCCCTGTACCGCTGCGAGTGCCACAGCGGCTGGACCGGCCTCTACTGCGACGTGCCCAGCGTGTCCTGCGAGGCGGCCGCCCGGGAGCGAGGTAACCGCGTGTCCCCTCCCGGCCCAGGCTCCCCCGGCGGCCAGCCCCCGGGAGGGAAGCCCCGGCCTCACGCTCCCGCCACCGCGCCCCTCGCAGGCATCGACGTGACCCACCTGTGCCGGAACGGCGGGCTCTGCATGGACGCGGACAACACGCACCACTGCCGCTGCCAGCCGGGCTACACGGGCAGCTACTGCGAGGACCAGGTGGACGAGTGCTCGCCCAGCCCCTGCCAGAACGGGGCCACCTGCACCGACTACCCCGGCGGCTACTCCTGCGAGGTGGGGGCCCATCCCGGGGGAGGGAGGGGTGTGTCTGGTGTGGCACTGAGTGCTGGGCCCTGGGTTAGGAGCCAGCTCAGGAGGGAAGACTCAGCCCAGCAGATGCGGACGCCTTTTAGTCCCATGAAGGTAGAGCCAGGGTAATCAGGGAAGACTGCCTGGAGGAGGTGTCCTGAGGGGGAGGAGGGAGTGGCTGGAAGAAGAGGATACACTGAGAAGTTGGACAGGGTTTCCCTCCTGTAGGATTTTTTCCCCCTTGTTCACCTGACACCCCTCCTGAGACCCCCACATCTCTTAGGAGATGGGGCCTGGCCCCTGCTCTGGGCCATGACTTAGTTTATGGGAGCCCTTCTCAGGGTCGGCTGGACAAGAGTCTGCCTCCGGGTCAGCCCGATGTGAGGAGCCCAAGGCTTCACCAGGCAGGAGGGCAGCTTGTGTGGCTCTGTCAGCACGGGGGGCGGGGGTGGGGGCAGCTCACACCCTGGCTACCCACAGAGCCACAGCCCCACCCCTTGTCGTCTCCCTGACAGTGCGTGGCCGGCTACCACGGGGTGAACTGCTCCGAGGAGATCAACGAGTGCCTGTCCCACCCGTGCCAGAACGGCGGCACCTGCATCGACCTCACCAACACCTACAAGTGCTCCTGTCCCCGGGGCACCCAGGGTAAGGGTCGCCACACCGGGGCTGAGGTCCAGGGGAAGTGGGCCGTCGGGCCCCTGTGCCCGGCCAGAGGCGTCCTGGACCTGGCCAGAGCCTCGTGAGGGCGGAAGGCAGGGGCGGGGCCGACGGAGCCAGGCCAGGCCTCCGGCACCTGGCAGCCCGCTGTGCCAGCCTCCTGTCACGCCCGGGCACCTGTGTGTCCCTGTCCTCGCCTCCCCGCTCGTCCAGGGAGGGGGCGGGCAGCGTGTGCCGTGCGGGTCCCTGACGCCCGCACCCCTGCAGGCGTGCACTGCGAGATCAACGTGGACGACTGCAACCCCCCCATCGACCCCGTGTCCCGCGGGCCCAAGTGCTTCAACAACGGCACCTGCGTGGACCAGGTGGGCGGCTACTCCTGCACCTGCCTGCCCGGCTTCGTGGGCGAGCGCTGCGAGGGCGACGTCAACGAGTGTCTCTCCAACCCCTGTGACGCCCGCGGCACCCAGAACTGCGTGCAGCGCGTCAACGACTTCCACTGCGAGTGCCGCCCCGGCCACACCGGTGGGTGCCCGGCCGGGCGGGGGGCGGGGGGCGGGCCGGGGCGGCGGGGGGGGCGCGCCTCACCCCCACGCTCGTCCCCAGGGCGCGCTGCGAGTCCGTCATCAACGGCTGCAAGGGGAAGCCCTGCAAGAACGGCGGCACCTGCGCCGTGGCCTCCAACACCGCCCGCGGCTTCATCTGCAAGTGCCCGGCGGTAGGTGCCACGCCCGGGGCGGGCGGGGAGGGCCCTGGCCTCAGGTGGCCGCTGACACCCCCTGCACCGAGGGCCTGGCCCTGCACACGTGTCTGCTGAGGCCTCCCCCGTCCTCATGCCCCTCAAGGTCATCTCTCGTGTCCGTGAACTTGACTTGCAGAGCAGTTTTATTTATTCACTTATTTGTTTGCTTAATATTTTCTTACTGGTTTCAGAGAGGAAGGGAGAGGGGGAGAGAGAGAGAAACATCAATGACGAGAGAGAATCATTGATCGGCTGCCTCCTGCACTCCCCAAACTGGGATTGAGCCCGCAACCCGGGTACGTGCCCTTGTCCAGGCTAGAACCTGGGACCCTTCAGTCCGCGGGCCGACACGCTATCCACTGAGCCACACCAGCCAGGGCCAGAGGAGTTTCAGATTCTCAGAACAATCCTGCGGAAAATACGGTTCCCAGTTCTGCTATTAGCTGCTTGGTCCTGGGTCCACTGTTACTATGGACACTGTTACTATCGACGAGCTGACGTCGATGCCTTGTTACTAAGTCAAGGCCGCAGCGCTCCCCCGGGCGCAGGCTGGCTCCCATGTTGCGCTGCGGGCTCTAGATTCTGACATGCAGAGCGAGGCGAACGCCAGGGGACGCACGGCGTCGGTGTTGTTTCCTGGGGCCCTGGGAACCCTGTGTGTTCGCCCTTCCCGCCAACCTGAGCTTTTTATGTTCACAGAAGAGCTCTTTACTTTTTTATTTTTTTAACATATATTTTTACTGATGTCAGAGAGGGCGGGAGAGAGAGAGAGAGGAACATCAATGATGAGAGAGACTCATTGGTCGGCTGCCTCCTGCTCGCCCCACACTGAGGATCCAGCCCGAAACCCGGGCCTGTGCCCTGACCGGGAATCGAACCGTGACCTCCTGGTTCCTAAATCAATGCTCAACCACTGAGCCACCCGGTCGGGCCACAGAATCTCTCTTTAAGGGGTTCTGCTGCCCAGGGAAAGGCGGCCGGCCCCCTCCCGGTGAGGACCTGGCGAGCCAGCGCCGTCTGACCCCGCGCCACCCCCTCCCCGCAGGGCTTCGAGGGCGCCACGTGCGAGAACGACGCGCGCACCTGCGGCAGCCTGCGCTGCCTGAACGGCGGCACCTGCATCTCGGGCCCGCGCAGCCCCACCTGCCTGTGCCTGGGCCCCTTCACGGGCCCCGAGTGCCAGTTCCCGGCCAGCAGCCCCTGCGTGGGCGGCAACCCCTGCTACAACCAGGGCACCTGCGAGCCCACCTCCGAGAGCCCCTACTACCGCTGCCTGTGCCCCCCCAAGTTCAACGGGCTCCTGTGCCACATCCTGGACTACAGCTTCCGGGGCGGCGCCGGCCTGGACATCGCCCCGCCGCCGATCGAGGAGGCCTGCGAGCTGCCCGAGTGCCGCGAGGAGGCGGGCAACAGGCGTGCAGCCTGCGCTGCAACAACCACGCGTGCGGCTGGGACGGCGGCGACTGCTCCCTCAACTTCAACGACCCCTGGCAGAACTGCACGCAGGCGCTCGAGTGCTGGAAGTACTTCAGCAACGGCCACTGCGACAGCCAGTGCAACTCGGCCGGCTGCCTCTTCGACGGCTTCGACTGCCAGCGCGCCGAGGGCCAGTGCAAGTGAGCCGGCGGGCGGGCAGAGCGGGCGGGCGGAGGAGGGGCCCGAGCTCCAGTGCCAGATGCCAGCTGGGGGTCCCCTGGGGGCCGGGGCGGGGCCGGGCGTGTGGCGGGAGTCTGAGCGCGCCCTCCCCGCGCCCGCAGCCCCCTGTACGACCAGTACTGCAAGGACCACTTCAGCGACGGCCACTGCGACCAGGGCTGCAACAGGGCCGAGTGCGAGTGGGACGGGCTGGACTGCGCGGAGCACGTGCCCGAGCGCCTGGCGGCCGGCACGCTGGTGGTGGTGGTGCTCATGCCGCCCGCGCAGCTGCGCAACGACTCGCTCCGCTTCCTGCGGGAGCTCAGCCGCCTGCTGCACACCAACGTGGTCTTCAAGCGCGACGCCAGCGGCCAGCAGATGATCTTCCCCTACTACGGCCGCGAGGAGGAGCTGCGCAAGCACCCCATCAGGCGCTCCGTGGACGCGGACGGCTGGGCCGCGCTGCTCCCGGGCGGCGGGGGCGGGCGCTGGCGCCGGGAGCTGGACCCGATGGACATCCGCGGGTGAGTGAGCCGCGACCCCGGCCGAGCCCCTCGTGACTCTCAGGGCTGCCCCCGGAGCAGCGTTCCCTCCGCTCGATGGTGAAAGAGCCTGAGGCTCCGACAGGCCCCGGCAGAGGCAGCAGCCCCACCCGGGGCCCTGGAGCCCAAGGCCCGCGCCCTGGCGCTCGGTCAGCTCCCAGGAGGGGACCGGCCTGAGGTCTCTGTCCTGCTGAGAGGGGGAAGAGGGGGGTTTGGCACCCAAGGGAACCACAGCGAGTGGCAGGCCTGGGTGGGCGGGCCTTTGCGGGTATCTCCTCCGGGCTGTTCCTGCCCGGACCTGGCTCCCTGCCGCCCCTCCTCGCGCTCTGGGGCGCTGTCTCCCCGGGGCCCCTCGGGATGCTACCACCAGGGCCCCACCTAGTCCCCAGGGCGGCTGGTGGGCGGCGGGGAGCCTGCCCTGAGCCCTGGCCGCGTCCCGCAGGTCCATCGTCTACCTGGAGATCGACAACCGGCAGTGCGTGCAGGCCTCCGCCCAGTGCTTCCAGAGCACCACCGACGTGGCCGCCTTCCTGGGCGCGCTCGCCTCGCTGGGCAGCCTCAACATCCCCTACAAGATCGAGGCCGTGCAGAGTGAGTGCCACCCAGGGCCCCGGGAGGGTCGGCGCCCAGCTCCCCCCACGGCGCGCTGGCTGCCCGTGTCGCTTGCCGCCCACGGGGGTGTGCCGTGCCCTCCAGAGCGCGGGGAGCCCTTTTCTGGAAATTTCTGCCTGGCACATCCTCCCTCCCGGAGTGACGGCTGCCGGTGGGGCCGGCCCAGGGGACAAGCGCATCCGCCGGAAAGGGGCGCTCCGTCCTCTCCCCACCCTCCCCCCGTTTTCTTTGTTGGGTATTATTTCAAAATCATTACAGCTTTTTAAAAAGGGGAGCGAGGGGGGGAGGCATTGATCGATGTCATGTGAAGAGTTGAAGTTTGTATCTCGGAAATCCCCGTAAATCCTGTGTCTTAACAGCTCAGCGTGAGCGCGGCGGTTCCGAGCGGGCTAATCCCTCCTCGAGGAGCGGAAAGTGGGGCCGCCCGACACCAGGCTGGTGCAGGAGAGAGTTTAGCGATAGTTTGCAATTCTGATTAATCGCGTCGAAATGACCTTATTTCGGGGGGCGGGATGGAGGAGAGCGGGGGAGGAGGCGCCCGGCCGGCCACGGAGCCAGTCCGCTGCCCCCCAGCCGCCGGCCTGCCGCCGAGCCGCAGCCTGACGCCCGGGCGCCCGCCGCCGGCCGCTCTGCCCGCAGGTGAGACGGTGGAGCCGCCCCCGCCCCCGCCGCTGCACTTCATGTACGTGGCCGTGGCCGCCTTCGTGCTGCTCTGCTTCGGGGGCTGCGGCGTGCTCCTGTCGCGCCAGCGCCGGCGGCAGCATGGCCAGCTCTGGTTCCCCGAGGGCTTCAAGGTGTCGGAGGCCAGCAAGAAGAAGCGGCGCGAGCCCCTCGGCGAGGACTCCGTGGGCCTCAAGTGAGTGGATGCGGCCCTGGCTCCCGGGGGCGTGAGGGAGGCGGAACGCCTGCGGACTGGCCGGGCGCGGTCTGGGCATCGCCAGCGCCTCGGGGTTCCCCGGGGAGCCCCGCTCAGCCTCGCTCCCCCTCCCCCCCGCAGGCCCCTGAAGAACTCCTCGGATGGCGCCCTCATAGATGACAATCAGAACGAGTGGGGCGACGAGGACCTGGAGACCAAGAAGTTCCGGGTGAGTCGGGGCTCGGGGACCCCTGGGTGTGTGCCCCCCGCCGCCCGCCGGCCTGGTGTGACCTGGCGCGGCGCTCTGCTTGGCCCCGCCTCCAGTTCGAGGAGCCGGTGGTGCATCCCGAGCTGGATGACCAGACGGACCACCGGCAGTGGACGCAGCAGCACCTGGACGCCGCCGACCTGCGGGTGTCCGCCATGGCGCCCACGCCGCCCCAGGGCGAGGCCGACGCCGACTGCATGGACGTCAACGTCCGCGGGCCCGGTGAGTGCGCTCGGCCAGCCTCCCTCTCGGTGCGAAGCCTGCGCTTCCCTGGCCGGAGCCCACCTGCCTCCTCCCTGAGCCCTGGGGTCAATATTCTGAAGGTCGAGGGGGCAGGCGCTCAGTCCTCCCCGGCCGCCTCCTGCCTGACCCCCAGCCCGCTCTGCCCGGGAAATAGGTTTCTTCTCCCGCAGTGCTTCCTCTGAGGCACCTGGTGTTGGTTTCCTGGCTGCGTTTTGATTTTTACATTTTTTATGTGTTTTGCCCGGCCGGTGTGGCTCGGTGCTTGACCTATGGACCAGGAGATCAGGGTTCGATTCCTGGTCACAGCACAGGCCCGGGTTGTGGGCTCCATCCCCAGTGTGGGACATGCAGGAGGCAACCGATCCATGATTCTCTGTCATCATTGACGTTTCTATCTTTTCCTCTCCCTTTCTCTCTGAAATCAGTAAAAATATTTTTTAAATGATATATGCCATTGAACTTAAAAAAAAATTTATATGTTTTTATTCATTTTAGAGAGAGGACAGGAGAGAGAAACATCACTGATGAGAGAGAATCATGGATCGGCTGCCTCCTGCACGCCCCACACTGGGGATTGAGCCCCAACCCGGGCGTGTGTCCTGACCGGGAATCGAACCGTGACCTCCTGGTTCCTAGGTTGACGCTTAGCCCTGAGCCCCGCCAGCCGGGCCCTGACTGCATTTTCACGTCGTCTTTCTCTGGGGGGTTGTGGGTGAAGACCTCGCAGGCCGTAAGCAGAGCCGCAGGTCTGTTGCCCACAGGTCACTTGGCTCTGTCCCTAGGAAGCTCGGATTGATTGTGGTGGCAGCCGGGCCCCGCGTGCAGGACCACATGTCCTCACCGGCTGTCCACCAGCCAGGAGCCTGTCACGCTGCCCAGGGCCGCTGCGGGGCCGACCTCCTGACCACCCACCCGTGTCCCCCCTGCAGACGGCTTCACGCCCCTCATGATCGCCTCCTGCAGCGGAGGGGGCCTGGAGACGGGCAACAGCGAGGAGGAGGAGGACGCCCCGGCCGTCATCTCGGACTTCATCTACCAGGGCGCCAGCCTGCACAACCAGACCGACCGCACCGGTGAGACGGCCCTGCACCTGGCCGCCCGCTACTCGCGCTCCGACGCGGCCAAGCGCCTGCTGGAGGCCAGCGCTGACGCCAACATCCAGGACAACATGGGCCGCACCCCCCTGCACGCGGCCGTGTCCGCCGATGCACAGGGCGTCTTCCAGGTGGGCAGCTGCTCCGCCCCCCTCGCCCACCGTTCTGGGCCGGGCCGGCATCTCCGGTCACCTGGACCCTGCAGCCCTGGCCCCAAGCGTGGCCTGAGCAGGGATAGCTGGTGTCTTAGCCTGAGCCGGGCACAAGGCCAGGGAGGGCCCCGAGCCCCACACGTCATCCTCGCAGGGAAACCAGGCTGGGGGGTCCACAGGAGCCCCAGGGACCTGGGGGCGGGGCCTCCTCACCCCGACCCGGCCAGGCTCCCCTCCCACCTCAGGACCCCCCACGCCTTGCTCCTCCGCCTCGGCCATGGCCACAGGCACAGCCTGTGGCCGCATGAAGGGCTTGGAGGCTGCCGCTTCCTGCCTGCGCCCCTGGGAGCTGGCCTTGCTGGGAAGCCCAGGACGGGCTGGAGTTAGGGGTTTGGATGCCTGGGGCTCCGGGGAGCGTCCCTGGCAGAGGCTCCTGTCAGCCGCCTGCCAGTCCCCCGGTGTGTGACCCAGCTCTGGGCAGCCCTGCCCTGCACGGATGGGCAGAAGCCAGGGCGGTCACCACAGAGCTGCTGAGGTCACCGTGTTTAGCCTGTTTCCCTGCAGGAAGCACAGGTTGAGAACTGAGCGTAGTTGAGCGGGGACAATGCCGAGGAGCCCAGGCTGGCTCTGGCTGCGGGTGCAGTGCAGCCTTTTAGGCGCTTAGAGACACATTCTCGCGGCCGCGTCGCGGGAACGAGGCTCGTGGAGCCCGGCTCTTTCCACCCGCCAGCCAACAGCGATCACCCTTCTGGCCTGAGGCCTGGGGGGGCAGCATCTGACGGGCTGCCCCCAGGGTCCCGAGAGCCTGGCTGGAGGTAGAGAGCTCAGCAGTTCTGAGCGTGGCTCCGGCCTCGGCGCCAAGGCCACGTGTGGTCACCAAGGGGCTGGTCTGTGGGCAGCACCGCCTGCGTCCCGGCCTGACCCCACGCCCCCAGCAGCTGCCGGCGGAGTCCTGCCCGCCCCCCCCCGCCTTCTCACACCATGACCTTCCAGTCTTGCTGGGGCTCCTCCAACCCCCAGGGGGCCTTGGGCTCCGCTTTCCCCAGCCTGAGACCTTCCCTGTCGCCCAGATCCTGATCCGGAACCGAGCCACGGACCTGGACGCCCGCATGCACGACGGCACCACGCCGCTGATCCTGGCCGCGCGCCTGGCGGTGGAGGGCATGCTGGAGGACCTCATCAACTCGCACGCCGACGTCAACGCCGTGGACGACCTGGGTACGCCGGGCGCAGCGCGGGCCGTGGGGACGGGCGCGGTCCCCGCTCGGCCCCTGCTCGGCCCCGGCCAACCCTCTGCCTCTGCCTCCCACACAGGCAAGTCCGCCCTGCACTGGGCCGCCGCCGTGAACAACGTGGAGGCCGCACTCGTGCTCCTGAAGAACGGGGCCAACAAGGACATGCAGAACAACAAGGTGGGCGGGCAGCGGGGGGGCCCTGGGCGGGGGGGCCCCTGGGAACTGGCACACGGTAGACGCAGACCCCATAGCTCGGGGCAGCCCTTCCTTCATCCGACCTGTGCTCGCCGGCCCTTCCCACGCACAGGGCTACCGCCCAGCAGGGCATTGGCCCCGTATAGGAGTGACCTGGACCTGACCTTCTGCCCCCCCCCGCCACTGGGCAGGGCAGGGTGACCTAGACGGTGTGGGTTGAGCTGGAACCCGGGGGGGTGTGGGGGGCTCGGGGACCAAGTGGCCCCAGAGGTAATGGGAGTGGCTGCCTTCCTGCTGGTGAACCCACCCTCTCACCCACTATGGCCAGTCCCCCCTGCAGCCCAGAAACGCTTCTCCCGGCTCCAGTCTGACCCCCTGGTGTCCTGAACCTGCACCAGCAGTGTTGGGCACTGGGGGGCGCTGGCGGGCACAGCTCCTGAGTCCCAGAGTGGGCCCTGGGCAGCCTGGGCCTCAGACGCAGGGACTGGGCACAGGGCATCAGGCCATTGCGTTTGCGTCTGTGCAGCTTTCGGGGGGAGAGGCCACAGTGAGAATTCCCATGGGGTCTGTGACCCCGCAAAGGTAAACCCTCCCGATTCAGAACGTGTAACCCCACAGACCAGCTCCGGCGGGCTCAGGCGGGTGTAAGGCTTTGTTTTTAAGACTTGGTCAGCCCAGCCCGTGTGCTCAGGGGTTGAGCATCAACCTGTGAACCAGAAGGTCAGGGTTCGATTCCCAGTCAAGGAATATGCCCGGGTTGCAGGCTCGATCCCCAGTAGGGGGCCTGCAGGAGGCAGCCGATCCATGATTCTCTCTCATCGTTGATGTTCCTATATCTCTCTCCTCCTCTCTTCTCTCTGAAACCAATAAAAATATGTTTTGTTTTGTTTTAAATACATTTTATTGATTTTTTACAGAGAGGAAGGGAGATGGATAGAGAGTTAGAAACATCGATGAGAGAGAAACATCGATCAGCTGCCTCCTGCACGCCCCCTACTGGGGATGTGCCCGCAACCAAGGTACATGCCCTTGACCAGAATCGAACCCGGGACCCTTCAGTCCGCAGGCCGACGCTCTATCCACTGAGCCAAACCAGTCAGGGCTAAAAATATGTTTTAAAAGAAGAAGAAGACTTGGTCAGGGTAGGCGCTGGTAGGGGGCCAGGTCGGGACGAAGGAGCCCCCTCCCCCTGACGGGTGGGGCGTCAGACCGCGGGTCCCTCTGGCGGCGGGGGCGGCACGGCTGAGGGTGACCCTCCCTGTCTGTGCCCGTGTCCCCAGGAGGAGACGCCCCTGTTCCTGGCCGCCCGCGAGGGCAGCTACGAGACGGCCAAGGTGCTGCTGGACCACTTCGCCAACCGGGACATCACGGACCACATGGACCGGCTGCCCCGCGACATCGCCCAGGAGCGCATGCACCACGACATCGTGCGGCTGCTGGACGAGCACAGCCTGGTGCGCAGCCCCCCGCTGCACGGCGCCCTGGGCGGCGCGCCCACCCTGTCGCCCCCGCTCTGCTCGCCCAACGGCTACCTGGGCAACCTCAAGCCGGCCGTGCCGGGCAAGAAGGCACGCAAGCCCAGCACCAAGGGCCTGGCCGGCGGCAAGGAGGCCCGAGACCTCAAAGCGCGGCGGAAGAAGGCGCAGGACGGCAAGGCCTGCCTGCTGGACAGCTCCAGTGTGCTGTCGCCCGTGGACTCCCTCGAGTCGCCCCACGGCTACCTGTCAGACGTGGCCTCGCCGCCCCTCCTGCCCTCCCCCTTCCAGCCGTCTCCGTCTGTGCCCCTCAACCACCTGCCCGGCATGCCCGACACCCACCTGGGCATGGGCCACCTGGGTGTGGCGGCCAAGCCCGAGATGGCAGCCCTGGGTGGGGGTGGCCGGCTGGCCTTCGAGGCGGGGCCGCCACGCCTCTCCCACCTGCCCGTGGCCTCCAGTACCGGCCCAGTCCTGGGGACCGGCGGCAGCGGGGCTGTGAATTTCACCGTGGGCGGGACCACGGGCTTGAACAGCCAGTGTGAGTGGCTGTCCCGGCTGCAGAATGGCCTGGTGCCCAACCAGTACACCCCCCTGCGCGGGAACGTGGCGCCCGGCTCGCTGAGCGCGCAGGCTCCCGCCCTCCAGCACGGCGTGATGGGCCCGCTGCACGGCGGCCTCTCTGCCTCCACCCTGTCCCAGATGCTGAGCTACCAGGCCCTGCCCAGCACGCGGCTGGCCACCCAGCCCCACCTGGTCCAGACCCAGCAGGTGCAGCAGCAGATGCAGCAGCCGCCGAGCATCCAGCAGCAGCAGAACCTGCCGCCACCCCCGCCGCACCTGGGCGTGAGCTCGGCCGCCAGCGGGCACCTGGGCCGGAGCTTCCTGGGCGGGGAGCCGAGCCAGGCGGACGTGCAGCCGCTGGGCCCCGGCCTGGCGGCGCACACCATCCTGCCCCAGGACAGCCAGGCCCTGCCCACGGCGCTGCCGTCCTCGCTGGGCCCGCCCATGGCCACCGCCCAGTTCCTGACGCCGCCCTCCCAGCACAGCTGCTCCTCCTCGCCCGTGGACAACACCCCCAGCCACCAGCTGCAGGTGCCCGAGCACCCCTTCCTCACCCCGTCCCCCGAGTCCCCCGACCAGTGGTCCAGCTCGTCCCCCCACTCCAACATCTCCGATTGGTCCGAGGGCATCTCCAGCCCGCCCACCAGCACGCAGTCCCAGATCGCCCACATCCCGGAGGCGTTCAAGTAAAGAGCTGGCCACGGAGCCACGCTTTTCTGGCCACGGGGCCACGCGTCCCGGCCACGGGACTACCTTCCTTCCCCAGGCCCTGCTGGGGCATTCGCCCGGCACTCCACGGACACCGGGCCGACCAAAGGAGCTTATTTTTTTTTAAAGAAACATGTTTTTATACAAAATAAGAAGACAGAGATCTGAACTTTTTTAGTATTTATTTATGTACTTTTATCTCACGTGGAAACACTGCCTTTTTATTTATATGCATCGTGTTCTCTCTCCCAGGAAACTTAGTAGTTCTCAGCCATGACTTCCCTCCGTAGGGAAAAGATTGTTACGTGTCAGTAAAACACATGAACAAAGATTCACGATTTATACATGCCATTTATTTATTGATTTCTTTTTTCAAAATCCAAAAAAGAAATAATGTCGGAGCAGGGAGGTTTGAGCCAGCGCCGTCCAAAAAGCTCTTGCGGGGCCTGGGCCGGCGCGATCCCCCCGGGAACCCCCGCGCCCCGAATCTAGAGACGGAGGCAAACCCCCCCACTCCGCACGTGGGGAGATTTGCATCTAAAGTGGGAAAGCGAAGGGAAGTGGGTTGTATGTGTGGGTGCTTGTCCATGGATGTTTTGAGAACGGGCTTCTGACGGCGTGTTCTCGGGGTGCCGCGTGCGTCCGGGGCACGGATCATGAATCTTTGCTTCAGGGTCAGTGTTATGTAGTTGCTCGTGGGTCTTGCCCGGTCTTGTTCCTTCCGGAAGCTCCTCCGCCCCGCCCGGGCCTTGGCGTTCAGCGGCGCGTAGTGTGAGGTCAGGCGTGGCTGCGTGGCACCGCCTGGGCCCGCGTGGAGGGCTCCTACCCTTTTGTGGGGAAAGACGCTGCCTGGGCCGCACCGCCCGACGCCCGGGCACCTCCGCGCACACGTCTTCCAGGCCCCGGGGAAGGCCCCGGGGAAGGCGGGGTGGGGCTCGGCTCAGAGCACCCTCCACTGAGGTTTGGAAAACCGCGCTGTGTCCGGCTTGGGTGTGCAGGGCCGTTGGTCCCGGGGGGACAGCAGGAGCCTGCTCTGGGGCCCCCTCCTGCTCTGGGGGGTCCTGTGCCCGGGGAAGGAGCAGAGTCTTGCAATGTCAAGTATAAGCCTGTTGCAAAGGAAATGTCTGTACATAATTTTCAAAGGTGGATTTTGTTTAAGAAATCTGAGTGAACACGCCCTTGGGGTCACGCTGAGGAGGGGGTGTCGGAATGGGTCCCACTCGCACCCTGGCCTTGACCTGCAGCGGCCCCCGCAGCTCCTGAGCGAGCCTGAGCCCCGGGAGGGGGTGCCCGCCTCCTCGGCAGCTCCTCCGGCCCCGCCAGGGCCAACGCTGTACCATCCCTTGTGGGTGTGAGCAGACGCATCCTAAGATGTTGATTCTTACTGTTTTATAAAATAGAGTGTAGTTTACAGAAAATGGAATCTTTTGTAAAAGTTAACGACATGCAAAACTGTAGGTGATAAAATGATGTATTTTTTTTTCATCTTTTTTTTTGTTAACTGATTTGCAATAAAGACGATACTGATAACACCCAGATTTTCCTAAACTCGGCCGTGCTGATGGCTCCCTTTCTGGGAGGGCGGGGGAGGCAGGGAGGGACAGGCACCCCAAATCCCTCCGCCTCTTCTGACAGGAGAGCAATGGAGAGACACCCGCCCTGGCCTGCGACCCTGCTGTGTCCACAAGTTCCAGGGTCCCTGCATCTGCCCGGCCAGCCCCCCCGCCCCCAGGGAGGGTGGGGACACGGCAGAGCAGGGCACATGCAGCCCCATCCAGGGGGCCTGGGGTGACACGAGGCTGTAGGTTCTCCCATTCTGTTGGCCACAGAGGAGCGAAGGCAGGGCGGACCAAGCCTGGGGTGGCAGGCGGGCGCTGGGGTGACTGACTGGAAGGTCCTGAGAGCCGAGGGGTGCTGGCTCGGGGCACCATTTACTTGGGACGCTGAGCAGGACCGGGTGCCCTCGTGGGCCTCCCTCCTCCCTCCTGCTCCTGGCCCTCGCCCAGGCAGGGGGACGCCCTGCAGGCTAGGATCTGCCGGCCCCTCCGCTGGGCCCTGCCTCCTGCCCCGACTCCCCACCCAAGCGCACGTGTGAGCCCAGCCGCCTCACTGCATTTGTCTTGGTTTGGGGGTTTCTTTTGAAAGATGAGTAAAGCCTGATGCTTTGTCGTTTTTGTTCATCTTCATCCAAGGATATTTTTCCATCGGTTTTTAGAGGGAGTCGAAGGGAGGAGGGGTCAGAATGAGAGGAACATCGATGTGAGGGAGACACGTGGGTCGGTTGCCTCCCGCACGGTCAGGCCCGGGGAACGAGCCTGCCACCGAGGTCCGTGCCCTTGACTGGGATCGAACCCGGGACCCCTCAGTCCGCAGGCTGATGCTCTACCCACTGGGCCACACTGGCCAAGGCTCCTCACTGCGTCTGGATGCCTCCGCCCGTCGGACGTGCTGGCCCTGCGATGCGTGGGTGAGACAAGCGGCTCCAGGAAGTGAAATAAGGTTCCGTGGCGCACCTTCCTGAGGGACGGGTTCAGCCTGAGTTCTGCCCAAAGCTCTCAGCACCCCAAATCCCACCCCTGGGTGTGCACCCAGGAGAAGCGAAAACAGACCCAAGTCCATGTTCACCGTGTTCACAGCAGCACCGTTCACGGCAGCTGAGAGGCGGGCCCAGCCCTGGTGCCGTCAGCTGAGGGGGGATGAAGGCGGGGGCCGGCGGGGGGCAGTGTGGTCCATCCACCCAGGGAGGGTGAATTTTGTGTCCACTTGGCTGGGCCATTCGACCAAATGTGAGAGCGTCTGGACGAGATTCACCTTTGAACAGTGGACGGAGCAGAGCAGATGGCCCTCCCTCCTCGGGGTGCCTCGTCCAATCGGGTGACGCTCTAAACCAGCGGTTCTCAACCTGTGGGTCGCGACCCCTTTGGCGGTCGAACGACCCTTTCACAGGGGTCGCCCAAGACCATCGGAAAACACATATATAATTACATATTGTTTTTGTGATGAATCACTATGCTTTAATTTTGTTCAATTTGTAACAATGAAATGGGGGGTCACCACAACATGAGGAACTGTATTAAGGGGTCGCGGCATTAGGGAGGTTGAGAACCACTGGTCTAGAACATCGGCCCCCTGGGCGTCCAGGGCTGTCACGCATCTTGGGACTTCTCTGTCCGTCATCGACCTTCCGTGTGTCCCAGTCGGTGCTGTTTCTCAGGGCGCACGGACAGCGCGGGCTTTTCCACCTGGAACGCGGGGGGTGAGGCGGCCGGACCCATCGGGCCGCGTGCGGGCCATTCCAGGTCTGATGACAATGTGCACAGCGTCCAAGGTTAGATTCTGCGAATTTCACCTCAACAAATTCATTTCAAAAGAGGAGGATCTGGCAGCGTTGGGCCTTCCAAGAATTTCATCCAGGGGCTCCCACAGATGCAGCAGGATGGGCCCCGGGGAGGTGCCCTTGGCCTTGGGGACCTCCCTGCTCCCCAAGTTAATGGAGCCCCTGCAGAGGCGATGACGCCCCCTCTGCCACGTTTAAACTGGGCGCTGGACACCCGGCCCCGCCCGCCTGGCAGGCCGCCAAGGCCCGGGGTGTGAGGAACTAAAACAGGGCCCCCCTCAGAAGGACCCCTGCCCCTCACCAGGCACCTCCCAGGGAAGACAGGGGCGCTCCCTCGGGGCTGAGCTCAGCCAAGACCCCTGACGGAGGAGCGTCTTACAGGCTGAGCTGGGGCTCCCAGCTTCGCGTGTTGAAGGTCGAGGTGCCCGGCACCTCCGCACGCGGCTGCGTCTGGAGCGGGGTCTTTCCGGAGGCGATGAAGGTAAAGCGAGGGCACCGGAGCGGGTCCGAGCCCAGCCTGCCTGGTGAGCTCACAGGAGCGAGTAGGACCAGCCCCGGAAGGTGTGCGAGCCTCCGGAACCCGCCTTCCTCGCCCGCCGGGTCCTCGTCTGAAGAATGAAGGTAGGCGAGGAGCGACTGCTCTCAGCACCCGCCCCCATTCCTGGGGGGCCCAGAAATGAAGGCCCCCCGAGGGCGCAGCCAGGTAATGAGGAGCAGCCTCACACCTCCCTCTGCAGCCCCGGGGCCTGATCCCGAAGGAGCCGGGGTGTCCCTGCGGCCAGCTCCCCGGAGCCGCCAGCGGGGCAACGACTTGCCGGCCCAGCCTGCCCGCTCAGAGGCGGTGTCTGCCGCCCCCTGCTGGCCGCGCCCCGCCAGTGCGCCCTGGGCGAGCAGGTGGTTCCCACGGGCCGTCCACCTACCTGGCCAGGTGAGCCTCAGTTTAGCACCTCCCCGGCCACTCAGGGCCGCCTCCTGCGACGCTGCCCTTATCCCACTGGACAGCTGCGGGAGCTGAGGCTCAGAGGTCGGTGACGGCCGGGCCCAGGGACTCCGGGTCCATGTTCTCGTGACCAGTTGAGGGGTCACCTTCCCGTGGAGGACTGGGGGCCTGGGGGGCCTGGAGGGCCTATGCCACTCGGCCTTTTCAGACAAGGAAACGTGCTCAGGGAGGAAGCTGCCAAGGTCACGGCCAGGAGTTAATGTCCCTGCCAGCCTGGCACTTGGCAACCTGCAGCTGTTGGCGCTCTGCCCGGCGGCACTGGGGCCCTTTCTCTTCCGAACCACAGCCCCCACCCCAGCCGCCAAGTCCGCGCCTGTGACGTCACCACCGGCGCTCAAGCTCGCCTTCCCGTGGGGTTTGTTCCCCGGGCTGGGGTGTGGCGCCCGTGCTGGGCCGGCCGGGGGCTGCGGGCGCCGCTGGCAGAGGGTCATCCGGGGGTCAGCTCCCCCCACCCCCCAGTCTGGCCCAGCCGCCTCGCTGCTCGCCCAGGGGCCCCAAGGACACCTGCCCAGCTCCCGGCTCTCGCTGGTGCCGTGCAGAGAGCCCGGGGAGGCCTGGTGGTGGCGGCAGTCCTGGCTGACAAGCCCAGAAGCTGCCTTCGCTTTCAGATGTCAAATCCCCCGCAGGGCCCAGTGCAAACCCCCAGCCGAGCCCCGCTTTCCGGGTTTCCGTCCCAGCTGCTGCAGGAGCTTCGGCCGCAAATACTCGTCCCCTCCCATCACTGCCCTGTCCCACCCCCCGCGGGGAGACCCAGGCCCGGGCGCTGTCCGGTGTTCGTGCTCCGCAGGGGTGAAGGCCAGGGCTGTCTGACCCGCAGCCGCAGCCCAGTTCCCAGCAGGGCCTGGGGCGTGAATGTGTGCGAACAGTTTGGGGCAGGAGGCCGGGGGCCCCGCTGCAGCTCAGGGGCCACCACACAGTCGCCTGCGGCTCTGTGGCGCCCCCGGGTGCAGAATGGGCACCTGTCCCTGCCGCTTATTTAGCGACTTAGATGCTTGGCACTTGGCACAGCGATTCAGAAAGGAAGGCCCCTGGGACGGGGCCATGCCCAGAGGCCGCACCGGAGGAGGGCCGGCTCACACTAACGCACCTCCGCACCTCGGACGGGGTGACGTCTGTCAAGCCAGCCGCAACGGCGCTCACTCGCCTGCTGTGGACTTGCTCCTGCAGGGCCCCCAGGAGCCAGGGTGGCCTCACGGTGCTGGCCTTCCAGCCCGGCCTGCACACGCTCCTCACACTCGGCCTGGATGCCCACCACCGGCCCCCGCACACCGACAGGGGCCGGATGCTCAGACCCACAGGACACACTAACCCCAAGCCCCTCCCCCAGACCGGGGTGACTCCCACCCCTGCCCCTCTATCCCGGCCTCCGCAGCTCTCACCTCCTCAGGAAGCCCTCCCTGCCAGCTCACCCCCCTCGGAGACCCTACAGGCCTTCGCCTGGACCGTCCAGCCAGCCCTGTCTCATGGAGGCAGCCCTTCCTCTCTCCAGGCCGCTAAGCGGGGTAGGTCCCCCTCCACCCAGCCTCAGCGCCCAGGACGGAAGGTGCAGGCCAGGGGCTGAGCGGGGTGCCTGGCATGGAGCAGGCCTGCCCTACAACTACCTACAAACCAGTTAATGCAGCTGCTTCATGCACGTGGGGGGGGGGGTGCAGGGCGGGAGGGTGTGGCCTGAGATGGCACCCCACCCCCACCCCGAGGCTCCTCTGAGGACCACCGGGCTGGCTGGTGGTCAGGAGAGAGCCAGCGCCACAGCCCCAGTAAGCCCCGTGCTCACTCTAGACCCACACTGTCCAGTGCAAATGCAATGCCAGCCACTGAGGGATTTTAAAATATAAAATGTTTTTATTGATTTTTTTTAGAGAGATAGGAAAGGAGAAGGGAGAGAGAGAAACATCCATGAGAGAACATTGATTGGCTGCCTCCTGCACGCCCCCTACTGGGGATGAAGCCGAGACCCGGGCATGTGCTTGGTGCTTGGGTCGACACCAACCACTGAGCCACACTTTCTAGTTGCTACATTTGAACTCAAACTATCCAAAATATTATCATTTCAACGTGCAATCAGAATTTATTGTGCGCTCTTGGCACTCCAGCGCGTACTTCGCGCTTGGAGCCCATGGAGGTTCCGCCCAGCCCCGCCCAGGGCTCAGTGGCAGTCTCCTCGGACGGACGGACCAATGGGGGAGGCCGGCTGGGTAACCAGGGGAAGGTCAGCCGGGTTCTCTGGCACGGCCTCTGCCCATTGTCCTGGCAAGGGTGCGGCCCTGCGGGCTGGGTGAGGGGACAATAACTCTGTCCTGGAACTTCGGGGGAGGAGCTACAACTTGGCCCTCGGACTCAGCTACGACTCTGCAGCTGGTTCGCGCCCACCCAGGGGGCCTCAGGGAGGGGCGACATGTCCACGGAGGAGTGGACATTGCAGGCAAAGGGAAGGATGGCTCTCCTGGCAGCACACCTCTAGGCACACCACAGTCACCCACACAGTTCCAGGTCATGCCTGTGGTCCCAGTGTGTGCATCCACAGCGCCCCCTTCCCGTCCCCCTCAAGCAGGTCAGACGCCCTCGCTCAGGCAGCGAGTTTGACCTGCTTGGTCTGGCCTGAACGCCAACCTTTCCTGCCCACCAGGCTGATGCTGAGGGAGGTCCGGAAGCTGGCAAAGGGCACACAGCCTCCAGGCAGCAGGCTGGGCTTCAGAGCAAAGGCTCTTGACTCAGGGGTTCTTGGCCCAGAGGCTTGATGGCTCGGCCTTGGGCCTCAGGACCCTCCCCGCATCCAAGGCTGCAAACAGCTGAGAAACAGAGGGGAAGGCTTGGCGGGAGGAGGAGGGAAGGGGAAGAGAACCCAAGGCCCCCCTTGCCAACGCTGGGCTCACAGCTTTCCTTAAAGTCGCCCCACAGGAGTCAGCACCTGCTGCCTCTGTACCAGCCCTGCCCCAGGGCCCCGGAGTCTTTCCTTTGCCCATGAGGGTGGTTTCTGCAGCTGATGGTCTCTCCAAGTTAGAGTCCCCCCGGGCCCACCCCTGGGCTCCTCGGAACGCCAGAGGGGCAGGTCTGGGCTCCAGCTCTTGGGCCCGAGTCGGGATAGTCAGTGCTTTCGCCTGGACCGTTCAGCCAGCCCTGTCTCGTGGAGGCTGCCCTTCCTCTCTCCAGGCCGCCAGGTCCCTCTCTCCCCCCAGCCTCAGTGCCCAGGACGGAAGGTGCAGCCTGTCAGGCAGAGGGCTAGCAAGGACACCCCTCTGCCGAGTGGTCTGTTGGGACAGAGCGGCTGCGGAGCACCGTGACCACCAGGAGGAAGCGGATCAAGGGCCCGGGGCCCGGGACTGCGTTCCACCAGGAGTTCCCCAACCCTGTGTTGAAACAGGCCGAGAACTCGCTTTCCGCAAGGCAAATGTTAGCTTAGCAGAGTGGCCACGTCAGACGGCGTGAAACTCTCCCCTCACCCGCCTGGGCTCTGACAGCGTGGCTGCTCCCTCGCCAGCGTCACAGCAAACAAATAGCCCAACCACACTCCTTCCCTCTTTCCTGGCCTCTGGGTCCCACGGGTGACTGGGGTGCGGCGTGGCAGCCCCTGTGGCAGTAGCAGCAGCAGCACGGAGACCTCAGCCATCGGGTGCTGCCAGACACGGACACCTGCCACCCTTCCTGCCTCCGGAAGAAGCTGGTCAGTGGGGCGGCTGCTGCCCTTGCCGATCCCTGCCAGGCAGGAGTGCAGGTGAGTGGGTCCGGCCGCCCTTCTCTCATCGGGAAAAGGAAGCTACAAATGGCAGCACCCCTTCTTCCCTAAGATCCTCCATGGAGGGCTCCGATGGTGCCAGGACGAGGCAGCAGCCACGGGGAGGAGCAGGAGATTGGGGCCCGGCAGCTTAACCTGTTGTTCGGTACCTCGGGGGTCGCGCTCATTCAATACAAATATCCACTCAGCCGCTGGAGCCTTCATCCACGGGGCTCCGCGGTTTAGGGGACCCGGCTGGGCTCTCGAGGGGCATTAGGCAGGCAAGAGAGGAACTGGGGACTGCGCGCCCAACGCCCGGACAGGATTGAATGTGTGCATGGGTCACGCGCACAAGGGCCGGTGGAGATGGCCGCCGAGCCAGGGAGTTTGGGGCCTGGGCTAGGCGGACGGCGCGGCTGGGAGCCGACAGGACGACCGACTCCGAGGAGCGCACAGGTGGGCAGTGGGGCTTCGACGCAGCCTGTGGATTGGGGGCCGGCGGCGCCTGCCCCGTCTAGGGCTCTGTGGAGCAGGCGGGCATTGCTTCGCGAGAACTAGTGTGGACAGAAACCAACTTCACCGGCAGAACTGGAAACCGGAGACGCGATAGCCGTAACCAGGCAACCGCCGGCGGCTCGAGGTGCGCACGCGCACTCCGCCGCGGGTCAGCGCATGCGCCGTCGCCTCCCGCCAGTCTACCAGCCTTCGAGTCCAACGACCGAATGGGAAGAACGCGCCTGCGCCAGAGCACCGCTCGGGTTCTCCGCTCAGCAGAAAGCAGTTCTCGGCAGGTGCACCTGCTGGCATCAGTCGTCCAGGACTGATTCTTCCTTCGAGTCTGACTGAAGAATCCCTACTATTCACACATCCTACAACGAGAAACGGCTGCGAGACAGACTCAGCGTAACCGGGGCGACGTTTAGGAGCGGCCCCCCGCGCGCCCTCCCAGGCAGGTGGGCTAGAGGCGGGGCGAAGAGATGGGCGTTGGAGGACTGGATGAGGCGGAGGGCGGGGCCAAGGGCCGGAACTAAAGAATGGGGCGTTGAAGGATTGGACGCCGTCGGGGGCGGGGCCAAGGGATGCGGCAGTGAAGGATTGGACGCACGCTGGGGCGGGGCCAAGGATGGGCCAAGGAAGGTGGCGAGCAAGGGGCGGGGTTAATATGGGGCGTGGCGAAGGGATGGGCGGAGACCAGGAGCGGGATGAAGGGCTGCGCGGTGAAGGACAGAACGCCGGGGAGGGGCGGGCCAAGGGGCGGAGCGTCGCGTCACCTGAGCAGCTCCTGGGGGCGGGCCTAATAGAAGGGGCGGGGCGAGGGGCGAGGGGGCGGGGCGTTAGAACAGCTGCGAGGGGCGGGACTGGTGGCGTGGCGGGACAGGCAATGGCGCGCGTTGACGTCGC